CGTCGAGAAAAAAGTTGTCCTCCATGTGATGCGTTTTTATCGCATCCAACATTTGATGCGATAACCGCATCCAAAATTCGATGCGATAAAAACGCATCACATGCAGGACAGATTTTTTCGTGAGAAAAATGCATCGAACTGAGGCACTGAATTTTCTGTGTGTATGCAGACGACTTGGTCTTATTATCTTTAATGCCTAAAGACTTGCAGATTAGTTTGGACATCCTACTTCAATATAGCAAGCTCAACAGACTGGAGGTGAACGGCGCCAAGTCAATTAATATGGTTTTTAAAAAGGGCAATAAATTAAATAGGGACTAAGCATGGAGTTATGATGGGAATAACATGCTAACAAGGACTTATCTACCAGTCATGCCTTTGAAATATCCAATGCCCTTATCTCCTCTGTGGCCTTATATGGGGCGATAATTATTTGAATGGTCCCATGGAAGGAACTGGATACTTTATTAGACCAGTTCCTCCGGTTGCTTTTCAGCCTCCCCAAAAGCTTCCCCAGAGCACCCTTACTTTGGTCAACCGAAGCAACCTCTAAGCAAGCGCTCGCAGCGGCTAGACATTTTAAATTCTGGATGAGAATACGCGAGCTGGAGGAGGCTCACCCAAGTTCATGGGCGCTAAAAGAACAAGGAATTTTACTGCATAGAGGGAAGGATTGCTGGTTGAAGGTGATTAGGAGTGAATTCCAACATTATGGATATAGCTATGTCTGGTACTTCGGTCCCCCAACGAAAGGTTTTGTTCCCGTGATGCTAAGATCAATCTGGACATATCATTTAGTACAATGGAGGCGAGATATTGAGATAATACCCTCGAGCCAACAAGTTACTGGACTCGGAACATCGGACAAACTCGCTATGGTCGCGCCCTTCATCAAAGATAAGGACCGATTCATTAATATATTTTCTAAGTGGCGAAAAACGTATTCAAATTACGTCCCTATCGAAATATGTGCCATGAGGAGACGTAATCGAGCCTTTTTTATCACCAAACTTATCACTGCAATTCTGCATTCTGTGTCTAACATAGTATTTTATAACTTCCATAATTTACCTCGAGGAGGCATATTTCAAAATTACGATTTTTTATTGCACTCAGCAATCGAACTGGTACTTCTGAGCCAAGTTTCAATTTTCTACCGCTCTTTGCTTTTTGGATTGGAAAAGATCCTGGAAAATGCGCCCCGAGGAGTTTTGCTTAAGAAATGATATTTTTTTACTTAAAGCGGAACTCAGAAAACTCCGTGCCAACCAGGTTCTAGTCTTATACCTTTGCCCTTTTTGCTGGTGGATATTTGGAAAAAGAGGACACATACAAAAACTGTGCCTTGGGGGGGATCCGCCACCAAAGTTGAATTTTTCCTTAACTCAGCACTTCGCCAGTCATGTTTTGTGTCGAGTTTCATCCCCCCCCCAAAAAAAAATAGTTAAAAACGTTCCCACAAAAAATGCACTGAGGGGATGTGTTGGAAACTTTTTTTTTCAACTCAATTTGTCAGCGGTCACGTTCATACCAGTTTTCAGCTTTCCATTTCTCTCCGTTTGACTGAAGCGAAAGTACTGATTTGAAAAGAAGTCCCCCAAAATGTGTGCTCCCATGGTATGTCTCTCCAATGTTGGAAATTTTCTGGACACAGCCGGTAGGAATCGATTCCCCCCTCTTTGGAATATTCTGAGGGGGAAAAAAAAAAAAACAGGAATGCGATGTTAAAGGACCGTGGTAGAGTCTCTCACTTCAGAAAAGCAATAACTGCACCGCTGGGGAAATTTATTTAGTTCCCTGCATTTCGTTCACAATTCCAAGAGTCTAAAGTCCATAATTTCCCTGATCAGAGGATAAACGAGGGAAACACCCAGCTGATTCCGCGTTGCAAAATGTCATCCGTTAAAAAAAAGCATGCGCTTTCGAGCGGAGCATTCGCCATGGGTCTTTCAGCATCGCACGCAAACACCCCGACTTGATCCTTGCAGACGGCTCTGGATGCCCCGATCTCGGGAGGGCATCCACCTGTTCAAGCCGAGGACTTCCCTGGGATGCCTCCTGGCGGACATTCCTGCGCGTGCTCGCGCACCCGAATCGGCCGTCTCCCTTATCGCTGCCGATTATTGCGATTCATCGGAGGACGGAAGGGATTTCGCCGTACCCGTCGACCTCGGTAGGCTTTTTGGCCTATCTGTTTCCGACCGATATCGGCAATCGAGCGAATGCTCGCGGGCGTCCGCGGATGAGCGCTCCATTCAGCGCGGGATTCCGTCAATGGGGTTTATGCATGCTTTAGCCAGATTCGATGGGCTCAGAGTTCCCCGACCATAATTGAATATGGAAAATCATTTTCAAGATTTTCAAATTCTCCGGATCCTCGTCCGTCATGAGTAAATTGACGATGAGCTAATCATCGCGAATTCAGTGCCGGAAGCCGAAAAAATTCATGAATTTCCCCCTTGCCTTATCCCCGTTCATCATAAATAGCGCGTGCATGGGAATAGTTAGCTTTTATCGGCCGATGACTCCTAATCCTTATCTAGCTTGAAGCCCTAAATTTCGAAAGCACTTCACGTATTCCACGATGGAAGAGGGTTTTTTGCCAAAGTTGAACCCACGGGAATGGTTTTTTCACAAGTCTAAAGTGTTATATCATATATTTCTAGGAAATATAAATAAAAAAATTTTTTGTTGCCTTGTCGAACTAACCTTTTCTGCTACTTATATTCCATCTGGGAGTAATTGTGTATAAGTTTCAGAGGTGAATTTCACCAATTCCAAGCAATTAGATATCGTGGGAGATGAATCCTTCGCAAAGCGCAAGTCGGGTTCCCTCCTCTCTTGTGGGCCATATGGCCAATCAGCCAAAAATTCATAGTTTTCTGCATCCTAATAAAAAGCGTTTGGTGGATCCTCGGCTTCTTCCTCGAGGCTCCAGCGAGAGAGCATGAAAGTCTCGGGCTGATGCGCGATCTTTCTGCATTCGGTCTGCGACTAGGGCCAGAGGAGACTGAAAGGCACTCGCGAGGCAAGCGAGCATCCAAATTCAACCGAAATTAATAAATTTCCTGTTTCGACCCCGAGACCAGTCGCCACGATAGGTTGCATCTCTCTCGTAGTTCCTGAGGTAACTTATGAGATGCTTTTAAAAAATCACTCCGATAAACAAAGCGAGTATTTTCCCATGGCCTTTAATACCATCGAAGAATAGAGATATCGTCAAATGATGGCGTTCGCATGTCATGACGCCGACAGCATGAATAGATCAAAATACGGTATTATGGGTTAGTTTTCGAAACATGGAGCGGGAAGGAAGGCATTGGAAAAGATCTGACTGAAGGGTTTCCGAGAACGGAGCGAATTCTCTGACTTTAAGAACCATTTCTGCCTTCCCACCAGGTTTCATGACGGAGAGCGAGAAGGCCATCTTCGAAGAGATGATCAACGTCCGGAAGATGACGAAGCTCTTCTGGATGCCCTGCGTCTGGGCGGCCACCATCGCGACTCGCGCGCGGAAGGAGGGCCGGATCAAGGACGACCATGCGCTCAAGACCATTCTTGACCACATCAACGACATCCGGAACCTCTGCGGCAAATGCCATCACATCGACATCATCAACATTCCTCTCGTCTACTCCCAAGTATGATCAATGTGTCGATACATGAGTTTCATTGTTATATTGTTCTGGTGGGAAATGAGCATGAAACCTAGACTATCTTCATTCCATAGAAACTCCTCGTGCGTAGAAAGCAATAGAATACCAGAAGGTAAGAAAATATTGGCAACTCGCTCTTATTCGAGGTCTTTGCTCTCATCAAGGAACTAAAAGTGAACCGGAGGAAAGTGAATAACAGGCATTGGGAAGGGGCGAACGAAAGCCTGAAGGCAGTTCAATGAACTCTTTTTTTTTAACCTGCAAATCTTGAATCCTTTGATTGCTGCAGGTGGTGTCGATAGCCGTCTACGTCTTCTTCGCGTCTTGCCTAATGGGAAGGCAATTCTTGGACCCTGGCATGAAATACCCTCATCACACATTGGACTTTTACATCCCTTTCTTTACCATCTTCCAGGTACCTGATTCGCCTCATTCTCTTCCTCCTGCGTTGTCCACGCGAGATGAAGGGCATTAATTGCTAACGTTTTTTCTTCTCCTGCTTTGCAGTTCATGTTCTATATGGGATGGCTGAAGGTGGCCGAGACCCTCATCAATCCTTTCGGCGAAGACGACGATGACTTCGAGCTCAACTGGCTCATAGACCGACACATCAAGGTCAGCTTCTTTACAATTAAAGCAAACTTCTTTACTATTCGGTCAAGATCCGCTTCGAGAGGTTCACGTGGAAAATGCTGAGGTTGGGATTTGCAACTGCAAATTTCTCTGGTGTAGAATTATTTTAAGTGGGGGGGGGTAATTGTCCCAGGTAAATAAATTTCAGAGCGGAACATTTTTTCGAGTTTCAGATGAAATCGGCTTTTCAAATGGCGGGACAGCGGAAACTGTCGAAGGAGATGCTCGAGCTACATTTCCTGGCCATTTTTCCATTAATATTCATTCCACATTGCTCTTGAAAGTTGAGGCAAACGAGTTGAGCTGCAAAGTTTAGTCCAATGATTTTAAAATTTATTAATATTCAGCTTCCCTTGCTTGAAAAAACTAGCCGCATTCCAGCGTTCGATTCCCAATTATCCCCAATAATAAGACATTACGATTATGAGATCCCACATCACGATCCAACGGTTTTAAGAGCAGCAATTAACATGAGTAGGTGGTCTCATTTCCTTGGAAAAAAAGGTATTTCCCGATGTGAAGACGATTTGATAAAAGATAATGCGGCACACTTTGAAATTAGCAACATATGTTTTATTACAATAATATACAATCATCGTCAACAAAAAGCACCACCAAGGAGGTGTCGAGCGACCTTGAAATGTAATACCTAAGCTGGAGGAATGCGACAGGAAATTGATTAGGATTAATTTCATTAGAGAAACCTCGTCAAAAGCCCCACTTTAAAGGGGTGGAAGTCGTTCTAATCTGACGAGTTAAAAAATTAAACTCGGAAAAGTAGCTCTAAAAGATGTGCCGGATGATCGAGCAAGGTTTTCAGCTCAGGCAATGCTGGGAATCCTTGACGAACGCCCGAGTCTTTCGAGCAATTGATCGAAATAGGCAGATTGGAATGCTTGCTTCAACTTCATGCATCAGCCTCATGCATGAAAAATGTTCATGCATGCTGAGTATCCCAATTAGTCTATGTCGATCATGCGCTCCAACAAAGTCTTCAAATTGCGTTGAACATTTATTGTCGTTATTCCTTCGGTCAGGTGTCGTACATGATCGTGGACGAGATGCACTCCCACCACCCCGAGCTGATTCGAGACCAATACTGGGACGAGATCTTCCCGGAGGCTCTGCCCTACACGCCGGAGACAGTGGGAGACCAGCACAGGATCCTCGAGAACTCCACCGACGATCGGTTCATCCCCAACTTCCTCCGGGCCACTTCCCAGGAGTCCACACGGATGAAACCCGTAAGCCTCTCGCGTGCTCATGTCGCTTGTCTTTGCAAGTCCATCCCGTTCCATTTCTCCCCTCTTTTTTTTCTCTCAACCACTACACCTGCTCGGTTTTTCTGGTATGTTTTCGTTTCTTTCCCTAACATACGGTTACATTTTCGTTATTTCATCTCTTCCCTAATGTTTTATTAATTTTTTAAGACAACATTTAATATTCCATTAACCTTCAACCTTTCATTTATTAGTCCCAAGATCATCAAATGATGAGTCATCTTATATGCTGTCATTATTCTATTAATGTCTCGTTAATCTTTCTTTAATCATACATTGAATGGCATACAATTACCTTTTTTTTTGCTTTCATCCCCTCGTATTGCCTGCAGGTTTCATCATCGGCGACACTGATGGCAGGTTCCCTCATGTCCCTCGTGACCAAGTTCTTCAACAAGGACGGCACCCCACACCTACCCACCGTACTCGAGGGTAGGTGGCGACAGTCCTCATTTAGTCCTTTGATTGCCCTTTTGAACCTCATCTGGCGTTGCTTGGGGTTTCCGGCCGTCCAGGTGAATGTAATGTACATGTGCATTCCATGCCAACTGACAGGAACACGAAAAGGTTCTGCGCTTGATCCTCTGATGAAGAACTGGAGAACATCGCAGACTATTCTTCTAGTTTTCACTGGAAGCAATCACCTTGAATCTTGAGAGCCGCTCAAAATGTTTTGAACGATAATTTTTTTATAACTCCCTTGCACTGAATGAATCATGTGTTTCTCAGGCGACTTTTGAATGCTCTTCTATGTGGCATAACGCACATTCATATCTGAGAAAAGTGAGGTTGGTAATCGCTAAATTCTGAAGAAAAGAAAGATTCGGCACTGGTTCTCGCTCTGTCAAGATTATAAGAACGAAATTATACGTCATAAAACGAAGCCAGCCAGTAAAATGATGCGAGTGTAGAGATATAAAAAGAAGAAATAAATCAAACCCACCCCAATCCTTACAGACATAGACGGAGACTCGGAGGAACTGAAGGCGCTGGACAGGGCCGAAGACTCCCTGAAGACTTCGAAGACGGTGCCTCGATTCGACGCGCAGAGGAGCGTGGAGGAGAAGCCGCTGCGGATCGAATTGCCTGGCTACTCGTCGAGCCAGGGGACGATCAACGACTACCTCATCAACTTTGCCCCTTCGTCCAACTCTCTCCCTTCCGGTCTCGAGTACGAACGGTGAAACGAAAAAGAGGCTCACCATCAAAAGGCTTTATTTGCAACAAAAAATGAAGCGACTTTGGCACAAGCAATTTGGAGTTTGATTTGGAGAATATCCACGGGAGAATCGAATAGTCTCGATTGAAAAATCATGCCAAAGAGGGAAACTTCCCTTCTTCAGACTGCAGAATCCCATGCGATTTGGTAGCTACATTTGATAATTGGCATTTTGCAGCTAAAGGAAAAAAATATATCTAGTACTGCAAACGAGGTTTTCTTCAAGAAAATATCGCCTCATCCAGATGGGAGTTGAAGAAATTGTGCGCCTCGGCAGCAGTCAAGATCGTGCTATTTGCGCGATGTTCCCGCGACAGATAAGGAATGCTTAAACAATAAATGAACTATTAGGGAATGCACGTTCTGCTGGTATTAAATGCCCAGCGGCAAAGGAACTGTTTTAACCCTGAAGGGATTTTATAGGCCGCCTTCATTACTCTCTGTACCATAAAGGTACTGATATCCATCATGAGGCAAAGCCAACAATTTTTCGCATTCGTTTTTCCTTCAAGTATCGCATTTATTTTATTTATTTACGAGAGCTTCGATTAAAGGTAGCTGGAAGTCGTTCTAATCTGAGGAGTTTATAAGTAAAACGATGATCAATGACTCTAAAAGATGTGCCGGGTAATCGAGCAGCGGTTTAAGGTCATGGAATTTGGCAATATACGGAAAGCCCTACACACCGGAGACCGTGGGAGACCAGCGCCGGTTACTCGAGAACTCCACGGACGATCGGTTCATCCCCAACTACCTCTGGGTCACCACCCAGGAGTCCAGAACGATGACACCCGTACTCCTCTCGCGTGCTTATGCCACTTGCCTTTGCAATGTCATTTCGTTCCGTCTCGGCCATCTTCGTATGCATTTAATTTGTTTATGATTTAATTCTGCTCGATTTTCCTGGCCTGTTTTGCTTTCTTCCCCTATCACATGGTCAAGTTTTTATATGTTCGACTTTTCATTAAGTTTCATTAAACTTCTAAGACTTCATTCAAATTTCCATGAACCTTTTAACGTTTGTTCTGATCGTCCAAAGACTTAAAAATATTATTTCATTATATGATTTGTCAATATTTTATTCATCATTTAGTCATTCTTTTAAATGCATGGGATTTCCTTTTTCTTTGCTTTGCTGTTCATCCCCTCGTGTTGCCTGCAATAGTTAGCAAACGCTGATGGATACACGCGAATCAGAATGCTCTCTCTGGGTAACACGTCAAGGAACCACGTTATCAGATTTAGTTTTCTTCACGGACGACGATCCGACATTCGAGGTTAAAATACAGGATGAGTTGGGGGATTCGGAAAATTGCATGATCACGTGGGAAATCGAACGGTCGAAACGCATCCCCACGTGAAAAAGTTGTATGCAAATCTATAGAACTGTATAGAGGAGTTCATAGACTCTATAGAATCTATAAGCCTCTATGTAGTGACTGTATAGAATCCGAAGAGAGGTCCATAGGACAAATAACTTTCCGAAATATAGGGATGCTCTTTATGTATCAACGTAATATCCTCAATATTATACAACGTTTGACCAAGTTCCCTCAACTTTTAACCTATACATGTCTGCTCTAATTACTGAAGCTATTATCGCGACATTAACTCTGCTCATGGACTACAGGGTGTAATAAAAGTCAGAAATGATAGGGAAATAACATGGGGATCCTTTCCGGACAAGATTGCCTGAAAAGAAGAAGCTAATCTGAGCTGATTCAGAAACTCTTTTGTTCTCTTAATCTCGAAGTCTGATCCAAGTGGCCCAGAATGATACTGAGTGACCCATGGCGACCCAAAGTGGCCCAATTGACTCAATTTGGGTGTAATTATCAGGTGGGTGATAGTTTTACAAAAAAATGAAATAGACCAAAATTGACTTAGAGTGGTACAGAGTGACCCATGGCGACCCATTTCGACCCATGGTGACCTATTTCAACCTATGGTGATTTACCCTGATTCGCTAATTTTCATAGTTACAGGAAAAGATAACTAAAATATATCCTAGAGGTCTGTATAGAGGAATTTATGAACTCTAGAATATACATCTCTACTGACATTAGAATCCGAGTATTCGCTTATAGAAAAAAACCCTGCGACATTGGGCAACTGTTTATGTATCGTCATATCCTCTGTAGTACACAACGTATGTCGGAGTTTCCATAACTTTTAACCCATAAATATTTTATCTTACTGCAGCTATTATCGTGCAACTTTTTTGTGCATAAGACGGTGTCACGGTGTAGCAGGCTTCCTCCATCACTGCCATCTAGTGTCTCGCTTGGTGATACATGGAGAATAACCGTGTGGGGTGGAAGTGTACTTAGCGGCGGTGAGTTTGATTCAAGTTTTAATGACGTGTTACAGTGACTATAGGTGCGACGCTGACAGGTTGAACCACACACGTGATTTCAGTTCCTAGCCCTAGGCTTTATAGGCCCTACCTTTATCCTATCTGTTACAACCGCAAGCATTTCTTGCTCATAGGCCTGAGTCAATAGACATAAGGACCTAAAAGTTTTAAGCTTAAGACTGAAAAGAAAGCTGATCCTCACATACTCTTCCTCCTTGAATAAACCGTCGTCACCAATGACAGTGATAATGAGGGATACCCCTGCGATTTGTTACTTCATTAGACCAAGTCCTAATGTTGGGCTTGGGAACTCTAGAGATGGGGTTATTAGGCTTTTCCAGAGAATCTTGAGTTTCCTGTATCAGTTATGACCGGATTGCCAAGTTTGGAGAGAGCTAGAGTCACTGTTGCCTGACTCCAATTCTACCTTCTATAATTCACCCTGAGCTGAATTGGCCAAGGCCCAGCATTGGAAGATTTAGAAATAGGAACACCAACACGTACCAATTTAGAGAGAACTGCATCTATCCATTTGTTGATGCACCATAGATTTAAATGGATCTATGTACCCTGAACTGAACTCTTATGACCTCTTCAGAAGTGAAAGCAAAATGAACTAATTCCTCAAGCTACAATGCTTTCATTAAGTGACCTTCAAGGAGTCAAAACTGGTTTTCAATCTGAGAAATTAGGAGGAACTTATATTACAACTTCAACCTAACTCAGCTTGAGTAAGATTCCTGGGAAGCTTGTTCACATTGGGAGTGGTGTGATGTTATCAAAAAGAACTTTGAACAGTGTCATATTAATGGCAAATGGGTCTGGTGTTAGGTTTCCCCATTGTCTCCCAGTGAAACTTTTCTCCATGGAAGACTTGAAGTGAAGCATTTGACATGCAAGGCTTGTCATGCCCAGTTGGGAAATGAAGCTCATCTGCCTCAGGATCGATCTCATCTTCAATCTATTCTGAGTAAGTCTGAATTTCACTTATATACATATGTATGTATATATATATATATATATATATATATATA